AATATTAACTATTAGTCAAAATTTAAACAGGATGGAAATGACAGGAAGTTTCTAAACAACTGAAAGCAAAAGGCAGCCCAATTGCGAGGTGCTAAATATTTTCAGCAGTCAGTCGATTCTGACTAAAATTAATTCATGCACGTAACACACAGATCAGATAGTTTTATGCTCTTTGATATCATTACTTAAAGACTAGATGTGTACTATAAAAATATGAATATCATATATGCAACAAAATCTTACATTACAAATTATATAAAAAAATTACCTGGGGGCATAGTCCCCACCTCTTTGCATTCAGAATGGTTTCCTCTGTTAGGATAAGCATTTGGTTGGGTCAGTTTGTTATTGTGTTCTTGTTCTTCTAGCCAAATTGTTTTGTTTAAGCTCATTTTCCATTCCTTCATGTTTTGGATAAAATCTTTATGATCTTTTGGGGTGAAGTGAAAGCTACATTTTTGTAATTGTAAAGCGCTTTGAGGGCCCCGAAAAGAGCTATATAAATGCAATCCATTATTATTATTATTATTATTATTACTACATTTTGAATAGCAAACCCGTGTGTCCTTTGACTGCTTGACAGAAAAAAAAATCATATACCGATAATGTTAAACTATTCTTGAGTCCCAGATTCCCACAGTCTGACATTTTATACAATTCACATTTAGAATAGAACTAACTGCATATATAGGACACAGGTGGTGTGCGTGTGTGATGTACCTGAAGTAGTCGAGTTTGCAGAAAATCTCTTTGTCTCTGATGTAACAGCTCACGTGTCGGCCCAGTGAAGTCTTACACACACTGCATGAGAGGCAGCGCACGTGCCAGCACAGATTATTGACCTAGGATTTCAAATTTTGACAGAGTTTAGAATTATTTAAATACCCTTCCAAAGTATCATCATTACTAAAGACCATAGAGGCTCCTGGAATTATTGGTAATGCTTTTATTTTTCTGAATGCAATGAGATATTATTGTTCTCATTTGATAATTAATAAGCCTTTTGTGGTGTGATTCCAATTCCAAAATAATACCAAATGTACATCCAGAGACAGAAAAGCTTTAATGAGCCAAATGAATTTTGACTGCACACTCATCCATTCTGTCCTTATAGAAGTGTTTAAAACATTTTATTTATTTTTCTCTTTAATTAATTTTCTACACAGTTTTTTTTATTTTTTTATTTTTTTTAAAAAAGCAGAATAATTATGTTCCCAGTGTTAGAAGTTAGTGTTAATAGAATTCCTTGGAGTACTTTAAAGGACAGTACAGATACAATGAGATTTATGCATCTTAATTTTACAAACACAAATATAAAAATTTAAAAAAAAGTCAATGTATCAGTACTGCCCTCTAAAGCACAAAGAGGACCCCATGCCAAGGGTTCAACAGCTGTACCTTAAGAACTGTGACCCCAATGACAAGGCGATCATAAACCTACTGCAAAATGAAATACTTTATTTTCTGAGGGTGAAGATTAGTACGAAGCATTAATGTGCTGTGTAAAATTGCAGAAATACTTGTTCTGCTTAGACTAGCTCATATATTTATCAGTTTTCAAAATTAATAAACCCTCAAAATGATTTAATTCCTCTTGTAGGACAATCAAATCCACATTTAGCTATAAAGAG